TAGTTTATTTGATCGAGCCTCACCCTCAATTCTTGTGTTCATCCTTCGGGATAGATACAGGATTTGAGGTAAAACGCTCTTTCATTTAAACTATGAAAATTATGGGGTCAGTTTGACTTCATCTTTTTCAAAACTAAAATTTTTAAAAACGTCCTTCCTAAGCGGGCAACGGGATTTCAATTCCGACGACCGACAACTTCTTACGGGCAAACCCCACACCAAAAATAGTGCCGACAGGTTGAATTAACATTACAATGACATCTTAAATTTTAGAAAGTTAAAAAAAAAAAAGGTTATAAGTGCTTTGTCTACAATACTTTCTTAAAAGTGATTTCCACACAACACCACTTTATAGTAATTTTTATTATAGTTTTTTTGTGTGACTTTAAAAGACTACTTTTTATAAAAGTTTCATTAAATAAATGATTAGAAAAGCAGAAGTTCAGCCAAACAAGGCCTTAGTTAGTTTCAATCAACATCTATTTTGTGTCTTGATTGATGCATATTATAGCACTTTGATTAATTAATAACATGTTCATACTAGCTCATGATGTTGATGTCTTGATTTTGTTATTTTATATTGTATAACTAATTCTTTTCACTGCATTTTCTTCTGCTCAATTGTAGATAATTGATAAATTGCATAATAATTTTTGAAATTAGCCAATTCACCACATGTGCATTGGTTGTGCAGCATTACTTGACATTTTGACCCTATGTCATTTCATTTTCCACCATGATTTTGATAGATATTTACTTTAGATAAGCAGCATTTTGACTGAATCAATGGTTATGAGTTTATCAAACCTTGATTGTCCAACAAAATTATCTTTACTTTTGTTTGATGTTATGCATTTTGTGGTGAATATGGAGTTGATTTAAAGCAATATTAAGATCTACCTCAAACATTTCAAATGGCTTCCACATAAGCACATCTAATTTATTATGATTTATATCAATTTAAGTGTGTTCCAAAAGTATCTTCTAAGGGTCAGTGGATTAAAAATTCTCATAATCATGTCAATAATTAAGATCTCAACCACCACTTCCATAGATTTGTTGTACAATTTTAGCTCTTCTTTATGATAATATAAATAAATGAGATTTGCGCTTTAACATTATTTTGCTAGCATGTTTAGATTGGAGGAAATCATTTTTTTGATGTCATCAACAAGTTTGCATCACATGGCATGATGGAATGCCCTTCAATTTTCATTGAAATGTTAATAAAATTGAAAATGCCCTTCAATAAAATTGAAAATGTCCACAGGATTCCATTCTCACATGTGTTTATAACCTCATGTCATTTGTTCTAAATTTAATCAAGATTTAAGCTAAATTCTGCTAGAGGAATTTTATAAGATAAATTTTATCAAAATAAATCCAACTCACAATCAAATTTATTAAATTTATATTTACAACATAAAAATTATGAAATGCGGAAAGAAAAAAATAAAACCAAAAAATAAAATTTAGTTCGAGCATTAGTTTCAAATTAAGTTCATTTTAAGCATAATTTTGCACTCATCAAAACATTTTATTTATTTTAAGTGATACTAGAAAATGAGATTTAACTTCCAATTTCAACGGAACTAGGGACTTAATTTAAATTATTTTCAGCAGATCGCCATCACTGCCAACAATGATCTTTGAAGGCAATACTGACTCAAAAAGCAGAGAAATGCGTCAAAAACATAAAAACCATGCATCTTAAATGCGAATCATACAAACTAGTCCATGAAACGCAACGAACATTCTTTTCCATTACTAAAAATATATTTTTTAAGGAAAAAAACACCTTACAATCCCACCTTCTTCCTAGAAACAACCCTAACGCCACAGAATTTAAATACAGACCAAAAAAAACAGCAAATTTCCATTCTAATCCTTCTTCCCATGCTTAATCTTCTTAGAAGGCGACTTCGGCTCCTTCGGCTCTTTCGCCGCTGCTGATTTCTTTGGTAGCAACACGGGATTGATGTTGGGCAGCACACCTCCATGAGCGATCGTCACGCCAGCAAGAAGTTTTCCAAGCTCTTCATCGTTCCTCACGGCAAGAAGAACATGCCTCGGGATAATACGATTCTTCTTATTATCCCTTGCTGCGTTTCCAGCCAACTCCAAAACCTAGAACCATATGACAGATCGAATCTCTAAAGACCTGGATCTGAAGGTCAAAATTTGTGAGAGGAAAGAAACTGACCTCGGCGGCGAGATACTCGAGCACTGCGGCGAGGTAAACGGGAGCACCGGTGCCGACCCGCTGAGAGTAACGGCCCTTTTTAAGGAATCGGCCGATGCGGCCGACGGGGAACTGGAGGCCAGCTTTGACGGATCGGGAGACGGGCTTCTTCTTCGGGCCGCCGCCTTTGCGGCCACCAGCACCCTTCTTGGCCTTCCCGCCGGCTTCCATGGTATTGCGTTAGATTGAATTTCTGGAAAGAAGAATGCAGATGAAGTGTGCCGGGATATGGATGTGGAGGATGAAGGGAAAAGAAGAGGATTTATTGGAGTGCTCAGGAGGGAGGTGCCACGGATTAAAGATTTAGTGCCGTTGATTAGTTGGAGATGGACGGTTGGCAATTGCCGGAGGGCGATCCGTGGTTTTGAGTGATTTTGGTCTATGTACTTATGAAAGAAAGTGCTGAATGTTAGAAATGCCACATTAATATAATTATGAGGGTATTTACATAAATTTACTATATTTTTGGAAAAATTATATGAAGACCACAAAATAATTATATTTATAAATTAATCACATGGGAGATTGTTTGTTTAATAAAAGAACCAACGTATTTATGCATGTTAAAACTAAGTGAAATTTTGATAAAAAATGAAAAATAAAGGTTGAGATTTTTTTTTTTGAAAAAAAAACATGAAAATGATTACAATTACATGAGTAGCGGTGTGTTTGGAGTAGTAGTGAGATTTCACACTAAACTTTGAGGTTTGGTAGCACTATATTTTTTTATTCTTATTAAAAAAAATTATGGTATGAATCAGTGTTTAGCAGCTTGAACTGACTAAGTGTGGTGACTGTTAGAAAACTTGATATAAATTTTTGTTAAAACTCAGAATAATGTGGTGGAACACTCAATATTTCATTGATTTGAACGGGATTATAAATAACCCATATAAGAATCTTATAATAGAAAAAATAATAAAAAGAAATGATATGAAATGAAGAGTATAACACTTGATATCTTCAATAATTAATTCATATTAATTATTAGGAGATATATGAAATAAGATAAAATAAGAAAACAAATATCTCATTAATTCTAAGGATTCTAAGGAAATAATGAAATAATTTATTTACAGTAATAAATTATTTCCTATCATAACTCTAATTCTAAGGAAATAATTTATTTATAAGAATAAATTTATAAGGAAATATCTCATTAATTCTAAGAATAAATTATTTCTTATCATGACTCCTAATAATTCCTAAATTGCTGAGTAGTATCGAGAACTGAGAAGAGTTTAGTGGTTTTTTGAAAATATTCGTTGGCTGTTCTAAAGTTGACACATGAGTCAATTTTATTATTCCTTTTTGAACTTACTCTCGTATCAGATGACAATCAATCTCGATGTGTTTTGTTCGCTCATGGTATACCGGGTTCGAGACAATGTGAAGTGTTGCTTGGTTATCAGAAAATAAATTAGCAGGATGTGAATGCATGATCCTCAAATCTTGTAGAATTTTTTTTAGCAAATAATCTCGCAGCAGGTAGTGGCCATGGAACAATATTCAACTTCTGCCCTAGAGCGTGATATTGTTGTATGTTTCTTGGTTTTCCAATAAATTAATGAACTCCCAAGGAAGATACAATATCAATAATTGATCTCCGAGTGTTACGAAACCTAGCCCAACCTGCATCACAAAAGGCATTTAGTTGGGTTGAGCTTTCTGCTGAGAGGAAAATTCCTTATCCTGTTGTTTGTTTCATGTAACGTAGAATGTGATGGGCTACTTTTAAGTGTGGCACTCGTGGTTTTTCCATAAATTGATTTAAGACATGAACTGCATATGTTAACTTAAGACATGTGATAGTCAAGTAGATTAATCTCCCAACTAGTCATCGGTATGATGATGGATCACTAACATATTCTTCGTCTGATTTGATAAGAGATAAGTTTGGTTACATAGGGAAAGTGTTTGGCTTTGCACCGAGGTACCCAACATCCTCGAGTAATTCAAGAGCATACATTCACTGTGAAAGCACAATACCCTTCTGGATCGCGCAACCTCAATACTAAGGAAATATTTCAATTGTCCAAAGTCCTTTAATTTGAATTGGTGCTTCAAGAATATTTTGACATGTTCGATTTCTTGTAAGTTGTTCCCTTCAATGATGACATTATCTACATATTTAATAAGAGTGATGAATTTACCATTCTAGGATCGGTCGAACAAAGAATAGTCTGTCTTTGATTGCATAAAATTGGTTTTCTTTAAAGCAGTGGAAAGCTTGATGAACCATTGTCGTGAAGCTTGTTTGAGACCATATAATAATTGTGGAGTTTACAAACTCGAATCTCCCCCTTTCGTCCGAGGCCAGGAGGTAGTGACATATAAACGTCTTCGTCGAGGTCCCCATGCAAGAAAGCATTGTTGACATATAGCATCATTGTTGACATATAGTTGGTGAAGATGTCATTGTTTGGTTGAAGCTAACGCAAGAAGTAGGCGAACAATGACAAGCGTTGCTATAAGGTTTCCTGGTAATCTAGCCCTTCAATTTGATTATACCCTTTTGCCACTAATATGGCCTTGTAGCGTTCAACTGTCCCATCCGCATGAAGTTTGATTTTGTATACCCATTTGCATCCAATTGGCCTCTTTCCAGGTGATAATGGTACAAGGGACCATGTGCCATTAACGTTGAGTGCATCAAGTTTTTCTCGCATAACAACTTGCCACATTGGATTACGAGCAGCTTCTACAAAGGTGCTTGGCTCCTTTTCAATTGAAAGGGCGGTGGTAAAAGCACGATGTTTAGGTGACAATCTAGCATATGACAAGATGTTGGTTAAATGATAGAAGGTACTTGTGGTTTTAGCCAACATGGAGTTCGATGTTGGGGGGTGTCTTTAGGGAAGAGAAATACCAACATAATACTCACGCAAATAGCTAAGCATTTTTGTTGTTCTTATTGGTCGTGATGATGGGTCTAGAGTTGCAGGTTGTTCTGAGAATAAATTTGAAGGTGAAGTAGTCTCTTCATAGGGGATTTTGTTGTCTTGAGAAGATGGAATATTTTCTTGAGGTAATTAATTGAATGAAGGCATGTCGATGTGGGTGGTGAAGTGCGGAATTGAGCCCTTATTTGCAGCTAAAAAAGGCGAAGGAAAAACGTTTTCATTGAAACGAATATCTCGTGATACAAAAATCTTCCCAATTGAAAGGTCATAGACTCTATAGCCCTTTTGCGCGTATGGATACCCTAAGAAAAGACATCGAATGGCTCTGGGATCAAACTTGTTTGGTCGTTGATGATGTGTTGAGGTAAAACAAAGACACCCAAACACGCACAAATGATCATAAGTGGGTTTTGTTTGGAAGAACATTTCAAAAGGAGTCTTTCCTTAGAGAAGGGGTGTTAGTGTTCGGTTGATTAGGTAGGTGGCCAGTTAGGATTGCACCTCCCCAAAATTTTTTGGGTAAATTAGCTTAAAACAATAAGGCTCAGGCTATGTTGAGTAAATGGTGATGTTTTCTTTCAGTTACACCATTTTATTGTGGAGTGAAGACACAACTTGATTGGTAAATGATGTCTTTGTCGAGATAGAGATTTCTCAATATGAATGTAGGACCATTATCACTTCGAATGATTTTGACTTTTAGATTGAACTGTGTTTCAAAGAGGTTTATGAATTTGATGATGTATGAATGTGTATCTGATTTATGGTTCAACAAATAAGTCCATGTGCATCGAGTATAATCATCGACAATTGTGAAAAAATATCGCGCTCCTGTGATTGAAGAAACTTGGTATCCTCCCACATGGAATAACCTTCATTTTATTGCATATACCCTAGGTTTATGATAATATGAAACAGAACTCCTTTTGTCGAGAGTATCCCCCAAGATGTAATTAACCAGTAGGAACATGTTCCTCTGGGAGTGCTCTTGACCCCAGAACATGTACATGCACCCGACTCTCTGGTTATGGGTAATCTATGTAGATACTTATTTCGTGGATATTGATTTAAGGTGTCTCCGCCCGATCTTGTTTCGGTAGATATTCTTAACCTATCTTTGCGAGGTTTATCGCACGTAGACTCTCCACGTTTTACTTTTTCTCTTGTTTGTCTTTTTGTCGTATGTCCCTTTTTATTTAATTCCTCTCCTCTTTGAATCATTTATATGGTTTGGGAGGGAGATTTATTCGAATGGCGGAAGTATACGACGATCGACAAGCTAGCGACTCCTTTTACAATAAAAAAAAAAAAGAAAAATGAACGGAAACAGTTCTTTTAGATGTCAATGAAGGAAAGTTAATAATAATTTATTATTTTATTTAATCTCAATTTTTTAATTAAAATACTTATTTTAGATTTAGGTTTTCATTAACTCTCCTCTATTTCACGTGAAGTTCAATATAAATGAGGGTTTTTTGCTTTACTTAGCTATTCACATGATTTCATGAATAAATTTAGGTATTTTAATCACTTTATTATTAATTATTATTTATAAGAGATGCATCATTTGAATAATGAATTCTATGGCAAATTAAATGAATATTTATGAGATTTATGCCATGTATACTGTTAAAAAACATCATAGATCTTAACAAATTCAATATTACATATGATAGATTTCTGATATCCTAAAATTTTCACATATTTTTATCATAATTTATCATTTATTTGTTCGCGTAATCTTATGAGAAAATATAATGCAAATTAAATCATATTTTAAGAAAATACTAACATAGTTTTATTTACCATATTTTTAATGAGGTCAAAATTTCATTCTTACCCTTTCTAAAAGCCTAGGAACTAGCTAAGCAATTCCTAAACTCTCTTACAAAACTAGTTGATGGTTGAACGAATTCTGAACAAAATTATCCTTAGTTTAAATTGGACATAATTTAATCCTTAATTCATGATTATGGAATTTGAGTTGATTATTGGTTGGGTCACTAAGAACTAAAAATTGGTTACTCTTTTAGGTTCTTAAAATGCTTTTAGGGGACTGTTGACCTCATTTTTTGTTGAGGTCTAGTTTTTTCTCTTTAGTAGCCTAGTGTCACAGACAAATAGTCCCACATTGGCTAGGTGTAGGGCCGAAAAGCAGTATTTAAGTCCTGGGCTGCCCACCACCCATAAGGGCTCTTTTGGGAGGTGACAAGTGGTATCAGAGCAGATTACTGCATGCCAGGTGTGTGGACTCTCCATGGTCCAGTGGGACCCTCGGTGGAGCCGATCCGTGTTGTCACCTCCCAAAAGAGCCCTTAAGGGTGGTGGGCAGCCCAGGACTTAAATACTGCTTTTTCGGCCCTACACTTAGCCAATGTGGGACTATTTGTCCGTGACATTCTCCTCCACCCAATCACGTGACGCCCTCGTCACGGATCAGCTCCACCGAGGGTCCCACTGGACCATGGAGAGTCCACACACCTGACAGACAGTAGTCTGCTCTGATACCACTTGTCACCTCCCAAAAGAGCCCTTAAGGGTGGTGGGCAGCCCAGGACTTAAATACTGCTTTTTCGGCCCTACACCTAGCCAATGTGGGACTATTTGTTCGTGACATTAGGGTCTAGCCATATGACATTTTAGTTAACTATTCCTAGAGGACTAAAAAAAGAACCCTTACAATTAGAAATTCCAAATTCTTCTTTACTCAACTTGAAGTTCCATATATTGGTCCTATCTTCTAGCACTTAATAGGCGGTGTCAGTATGGAGGAACTCAAGAAGAGTCCCCCGTAGGATGGTCAGACCTTAGGACTAACCTTGGGTGAGCTGGTTTTGGTGGGGCTAACTTGCACACACTACACTCTCTAAAATACCCCAAACTCTAGGATCCCTTAGGTTGGTCTCTTGACTCCTTTTAGAGAGCTCATATGGATGACCTTATACCCGTAGTCTTTGGCTAAGAGAGTTAGAACCAACATATTGAGCATCCAAAATGAGTCCTCACATGAATCCTATTGGTTTGGTATGACTTCATGGCTTGTTGGGCTATTTTGGCCCAAAATCACTAAATTACCAAAATATCCTTACAAACTCAATCCTTGCCAAAAATCCCAAAATTACTCAAAATACCCAAATTTATCCAAAAATCATTTTAAACCCCTCATCGCTACCTAAATCGACCAAAATTCACCAAAATTACCAAATTCCCAAAATACCCCCAAAAAATTGTCAAATATTCCCAATTTCAATTTTTTTATCATCAATTTGACCCAATTTGACCAAATTAGTTCAATTTGACTAAAAGCCTCAATTTGCCTTTAAAGACCCAGATGTCCTCAAATTAACCCCAATCTTGCCTAATTTCAATTTCAAATCAAAATTTAGCATCCCCAATCCTAATATAAACAAAATTCAAGCCTAATTTGATCCAGTTACAAACTCAATTTCACCCTAATCAAAAAGCCCCAATTATGACCATATTTCTAATTTTCCCAAATTAACCTCTAAATTCAATTCAAAATCGCTTGAAATTTTTTCAAAGCCTTCATGACATATTCCTACACCAAACTCAACATTCAATTAGCCCAAATTTTAGCCCAAATTTGAGGTTGTTTGTTTATGCAAATATAAATTCTCAACTTTTCTTTAGGCCTTTGTATAGCTCTGACATACAATTAAAACCCTAACCTGCATTAGGTTTTCGAGGTTGTCGTCTGTCGTGACCTAAATCCTCACATCTTCCAAGTTATTTGTGTGATTGTTTCATACGAATATGTCATAATTAATAAAATTGGCATGATGAAATATTTAAACATTTCTCCTCTAAATTTAAGCCAAACCATATGATAGCTTGGGAAGTCACCGAGGTTCTCATTTGAATCTATGACATCCCCTAGTTCTTCCTCCTTTAGATTCCAAAATAAAACGTTCCAAACTCGAGTCATTCTCCTTTCACACCTCTTTGTCCGATCCCGTTGAAAAGTACCATCTGAATTCCTTGAAGATAATATCCCCTGATTTTTATCGAGTTTTCTTAGGTGACTCCGATTATCTAAGATGTAATGAACTATAGGGGCTTGCTCTTATAAAATATTTCTGAACCCAACTTAATATAAACCCTATTTAATTCTTTGTATTAAATAGAGGAAATTGTTGGTCAACATAAAATAGTTTTCGCAGATTTAACGAATGTCATACAATATTTAATTTATTTAATCTAGTTTTACCAATAAGTAATGTACTTATCCCTCGGGATAAGTGCACTGCTTGTGGTATTAGATTCGTTTGTTTAAAATACTGAGAATATGAGATCGGTTCGGTCTTGTATTTTCAAAAATTTAAAATACTATTTTTTTTCTAATTACATATGTATTAAATTAAATTAAAACGGGTGTTAGGATATCCATCCTAGCTGCTGTCAACTTAACAACTCTTAACTTTTTAGTGCCGACAGGGACTTTGAATCTTTGAGGCATTGAACTTAGAAAAATAATCCAAGGTCATAGAAGCTCATGAATTCCATCACTCATAAAAACAGGTGTTAGGATATAATTTATCTGGGATATAAAATGTGGGGACTATATACATAGATTTGAAATTTTTATCTGTGGTTGAATGCAACATCAACAAAAATATATCATCCTAAAAGCAAAAATATTGTCATATGATGCATTTAACCATTGAATATTATTTCACTATTATGTAGATCTGCATCATAAATAATTTTTTCCCCCATCCTTAAGGAGATAGGATGTGATTTATGTTATTTAGGGTCGTGTATCCTTAAAGGGACAAATCCACAGTGTTAATTATGTCCTAAGGACATCTATTTGTGAAGACAACTCTCAATTTAACTAATGACTATCACAATAAGCAACCTAATAGTTCTCCAACCAATTCTATTGCCAAATGGACATAATTCTAAATTCAATCGAAATTAACTAATACATGAACTTCAAATTCATTGATACTTTACATTATATTTATAATTATTCATATCAAATATAGAATTTCTTAAAATCTCAATAAAACAATTTATATATGTAAATGAAAGTATTTATAGCTTTCTCTTTTTCTCTCTTACTCTCTCTTTATATATATATATATATATATATATAAGCCATCACTTTTAATGTCTAAATAAAAGATTTATATGTGAAAAAAAATTATACGGCAAGCACAGATTATAAATTTTTTTTTACTATATTAAGAATTCAAGCACATTTTTAGGGTGTAGACACCATATTTTTAATAGTATTTATGCCTAAATTTAGCATAAATTCAATCAAACATAAAAATAAATAAATGTTAAATCTTCTAGTACATTAATTCAAAATTTCCGTATTTCTTTCTCTTTATTAAATATAAATTCGAATTTACTAAATCGGAGCAAATTTAAAAAATTCATTGAAATCCTATTTATTTTAAATCCGGTTGCAGCCACCCATTTTGAGGGACATTGCTGCTCCGATTCACTACCAAATTCTGTATCCCGTAAATCGCAGTCGTTGAAACCTCCATCTAAGCAACGGCTAGATTTTAAGCCAGCTCATCAATCCCGAACCCCCAGTTGTGTCCAACGACAATCATCTCCGTGCTCTCTATATATATAGAATTCCTTCTCGTCTCCATCTCCCATCTTCATCTCACCCCTCCTCTCTCTCTTATACCACCAATCGATTCCTTTGTCCTCGATCTCAATGGCTCCCAAGGCCGAGAAGAAGCCCGCAGAGAAGAAGCCCGCCGCCGAGAAGCCGGTGGAGGAGAAGGAGAAGAAGACCGAAGCAGAGAAGGCTCCTGCGGGAAAGAAGCCCAAGGCAGAGAAGCGCCTGCCGTCCAAGGAGGCTGCTTCCGGCGACAAGAAGAAGAAGAAGAAGATCAAGAAGGGAACCGAGACTTACAAGATCTACATCTTCAAGGTCTTGAAGCAGGTCCATCCTGATATCGGAATTTCTAGCAAGGCGATGAGCATCATGAATTCGTTCATTAATGATATTTTCGAGAAGCTTGCCCAGGAGTCGTCTCGGCTTGCGCGCTATAACAAAAAGCCGACGATCACGTCCAGGGAGATCCAGACTTCCGTTCGCCTTGTGCTTCCCGGGGAGCTTGCTAAGCATGCCGTTTCTGAGGGCACCAAGGCCGTTACCAAGTTTACCAGCTCTTAAGAGATCGGTTGTTTCGTTATCGCAAGTGTTTTATTCTGATTGATAGCTTTACCTATGTTGTTATCGAGATCCTTTTCTGTTTATGTTTCCTTGGATTTGATGTAACATATTGTTATCATCTGCAAATTTAACTATGAAATGAACTATTTTCTTCAATGTTTGTCTTATGCTTTTTCTTTGATTTTGAATTGCAAGATGTGCATAATGCTGTGTTTTGCTTTTGCCTTCACGAACTATGATAACTTACCACCAGAATGCTATCCGTTTTTATGAGATATGAAATATGCAGCCTTTTGTTGATCATGAAATGATATGCATAATCGCATGCTACTTATGCAATTGAAAGCCATTTTGAGCTGTCAGTTAGTGCGTCTAATAAATGCTGTAAAACCGGGATTTTGAGGTGAAAAAATTGTTTGGCATGAATAATGGGATGATTAGGAGGCGCATTACTACCTTGGTCGTTAGTTTTGTTTGGCCAGGTTGTTTTTTTTTTTTTTTTCTGTTTGATTGATTGATTCTGGTTAGTTCCTCACTGGGGATTTGTTAGTTTTTGGACTTGGTATGACAGGGAGAGTTGTTGATTTCCTTAGTCTTGGTGACCCACAAACTTCCTATTAGTGATTTGATGATAATAAATTTTATGTGGTTTCATTTAATAGTTAAATGTTTTTACAAGTAATCCAATTATCAATAGTCATTGTCATTGTGACAATTCAAGTAACCCAATTGTGAGTATCATATTAATGTAGTGATGAAATAGCATTTGAAGAAGTATCTTGTATTTTATTAAGATTACTTAATTGTGTTTTTATGACAAGTTATTGATTTAATTTGTATTCTATTTGATTCATTGACTTGCTTTTTCAAACTTCCATCATATAATATAATTTGTTTTAATATTAATTTCATTAAATTATGTTATTTTTCATTATTTCCTATGCGTTGGAAGAGGCTTGTGCAGGTTTTTTCATGGATGGCATCTGTGAAAGCCTTGTAACTGCTAGTCAAATTACTCTTTGAAGAAAATTTGCTAACCTTTACAGCTCAATTTTTAGGGGATCTTTTGTTACTTTTTTGCTTTTGTTTAGAGAATTTTATTGTCACATTTTATTTTATATAAAGCTCATAAAATGAGAAATTATAAAGATTATGAGGCTGTTTGATTGCATGTTTTTGAAAATACAAGCAGTTGTTTGATTGGATGGAAATTAAATGTTCAAAATATTTATTTTAGGTGTTAGTTATATTATATTTTATATGCATTGCAATGTGGACACTGATTGATTACATTTTTTATACAATCCATAAAAAATTTTGCTTCATATATATGTTACTTTATATCCAATGAAACGAGCTTTCTCTTATTCTGCTTATTTTAAAATTACTTAAATGTTATTTTTACAACATCATCACCATCTTTGTTTTGTTGAGATTTATATGTTGTGTGACTTTGTTGATTGATGTATTAGTTGACTTATAGCTTCTGCGGGGTTGACTTTGTTGACATCATTTTTCATTGAAATTTTATCATTCACTTATATGGCTTAATGTACTCAATATCATTAAATATCTCTTTGGCTACACTTACTAATTGATCTACATGGATTGCATGTAATTTTCTAAAATTTGGATACTCTTATATTAGCATTACATTATATTACATATTTACATACTACACTTGCACGTTTATGTATGATTTAATCGCCTATTTTATTTATCATGTTCTGGTAACTCATTGTTAAGCTTGAATTGATAGAATTTCATTAAAAAAATTTTGATGTGTCATCACTGATGGATTACTTGTTTGTCATGTCTTACAAGCTTTTGATTGTTGGGGATTGAATTGATAGGATTTCATAAACAAATTTTAAGATGTCATTGTACACTCTATCACCTCTCTCTTAACAACTTGATATTTATGATTTTGGCTCGTTTGTGAAAGCACTTTGTGAAGTTGACAGAGGTTGGGGATGGCTCCTGATACATCTTCTCCATGGACATTATGCTCATCTTCATTGCTTGTTGGCTGCGGAGTCGCTTGAGAACCACATACTTGTAAGTTTTTCTAATTATTTTTTCCTAATTCATTTGATGATTGTTCTGCTTTTTTTCCTGTTAGAATTAATTAAGCCTTCTTTTTAAATTTGGCATATTCCTTGTGTTCTTACTTCTCATGTTTTGTAACATCATCAATTAATTAATTTATCGTTTTGATATTATTATTATTATTATTATTATTTTTATTATTTACTTCTGTTTGATTCGTTTGTGTTGTGAAATATATATGATAATGCAAGCCACCTTGCCGGTTGTAAGCTTTGTTTTTGAGCAAAGTGGTCTTGGTTCTAGGTCTTGCATGTGCGGTATGCATATTTTGCGATTAAATTCGCTCAAATTTAGACGACAGAAGGAATCTTACAATAATGGGGTGTTTGAAATGAATTGAGTAAATTTTGTAAATTTGGATTTACAAAATCCAGCTAACATTAGGTTTTAATAAAATATGGGATTTAATACAAAATTAAGAAGAAATTAAGAAAAAAATTGGACTGACTAAATTCTGAATTTAAGCCCTAAGTGTTGCACATGTGAGGTTTTTTACAAATGATAGGCAAAAGGAAATACATAGGATTTGAGTTGGCATTGGCTTAGGAACTCTTGGTAGTATTGAGTAAGCGGAGATCAATTAAGGACACATTCTTGGGTTGTTGGTTTTATTTGGCTAAGTTGTTTTTGATCTTGCTTTGCTTGTTTGACTCTGGTCAGTTCTTCGTTGGCGTCATGTTTGTTGTTTGGGCTAGGTGTAGCAGGGAGAGTTGTTGATCTCATTAGCCTTGGCAACTCACATTCACCTTTTTAGTTATTTGATAATAAATTTTGTGGTGTCATTGAGCAGTTAAATATTTTTACAAATATTCCATTAGCAATAGTTATTGTGATTGTGACAAATGCCAATGTGACCAATTTGTCACTTGCAGATGGATTTAGGCGGAGAATTTATGATGACTAAAGTGCAAGGATTCATTCAATGTTATCTTAATCATGGCCACAATAGTGGGTGGCGACAATATTCTATTTTTAAAAGTAGGAAAAACAATTGTTTATCTTTATTTAAAATCAGTAAAAAATTTTGGCCTTGTTTGACATTACTTTTGTTTTTGTTTTTTTTTGGGCTTATAATTTAGTTTTTGAAAACATGATTGGTTAGTTATAATATCTAT